TTAAAGTAAACTATGTTCAATATATTTTGATAATTTGGAATGTAAATAGTTTTTTAAGAGAGTGTTGATTCGTGCTTCTAATAACTCTACCCGATTTATCAAAGCTATTAAAATATATTGGAATTCTAAAATAAATAACTGCGTTCTATCAAAACAAACATTTTATTATAAAACTTTAGAACAACTATCTTTTTACATTGCCACTCAAAATTATTAATAAACACTGGATAATATTGCGTTAATGACACTTTTATCTAATGACGTCATAAACAATCGTTTGCATAAAGTTTAGTTCATAATAATCATATATAATCGCTTGCATAAATAATCGTTCGGTGTTTTTATAGCTTTACGTAACAAGTGAAAGATTTTTTTTTTCCTTGGAATGGCGATGTTATAATTTTGTTGTTGAGTTGATAAGTCTTTCTTTTTATAAACTTAATAGAGTTTTCTTCATTATTGATTCGAAGTGCTCTGAGTTTTATTTGAGATCAGTTTGTATTTTGTATTTTTTGACAGCATTATTAAAAATTATTACCTTTTCACACACACATGCGTTCTCAATTTTGATTGGCTGTTTTGTGCGTTACTAACCAGAAGTCTTCTGTGATTGGCTATGCGTTATCATTCCACTCTCTTCTTATATATAAAGATATATATATATTATATAAGTTAAGACTAAATAAATAAAATTATATTAAATTGAATCTAAGTTAAATCTGAAGTTATCTTTAATTTTCAAGATTATTCAATTTTTTTAAATAATATTTACCCAGATAAATTAATCTTGCTTCGTAATCATGATGATAATAGATTATGTTGATTTTAATTTTTGGGATTTGGGTATTAAACAAGGAAAAAATATCTGCTTTGCTGATTTATACGATTACAGAAATGATTTTAATTTCAATATAAATGAACTAATTACTTGGAATTATAATGTTTCTAAAAACATCTATTTAAATACCCTCTTTAATCAAATGAATAGAAATAAAAGAGTACGTAGAAATGATGTACTTACCACTTTTTTTTTTATAAGTGATTAGTTTCTAGAAAAAAAAATCAAATCACCCGATAGAGTCACCCGTAAGACCGTGTACATATGTTAACTCTATGAGAAATTTAGAAATACTAGAATTTCAAATTTCAGTAAAAAAGTCACAGACATTTCTATTTTATAAGACAATTTTTAAAAAAAATTATGCAGGTAGTTTACTTGTGACGTAATCAAGGCCCTTTTCAAGGGAGGAAAGGGATGCCTAGGACTGCTAAGTGCCTGTCTAAAATTTCCTAACGAAATATATGTTTGTTAATTGGTTTTTTTCTTTAAAGAAAATTACAACCACAAGACCAGTCTGTTTTTTGCTCATTGAAATTTTGAAGAATTGAAAGCCGATTATTCGATATACCTTAAATTTTCATCTAGCTTTCAAACTAGTTTGAATGTTTTTAATATCGCCTTCCTAGAGCCTCGATGGTTTAGGGGATAGAGCGTTCGCCTTCCAATAAGGCGAACCGGGTTCGAATCCCAGTCGATACGAATTCCGCATCCGGATTGCACCAGCNTTCGCCTTCCAATGAGGCGAACCGGGTTCGAATCCAAGTCAATACGAATTCCGCATCCGGCTTGCACCGACCACAGTGCTGACGTGAAATATCCTCAGCGGTAGACGGATCATGGGTTAGAGTCCCCTTGCCGTCAATGCTAACCGTGGGAAGTTCTCGTGATCTTCCTCTCCATGCAACGCAAATGCTGGTTAGCTCCATCAAAAAGTCCTCTACGAAGGTAAATTTCTCCCAATACTCGATCGAGGAGTTTCCTTGTCTTCTGTATTGGGTTCAAAATTACAAGGCTGCGGAGTTGAACATTAGTAGTCGTAAACCCATAAAATTGAGCGGTCGGCTGTTCAACGACGGTTATAAAATAAAATATTCCTCAGTTTTGATTTCGTCAGTTTTATGAAGTAAAAATCTCGCTTTTGCCCTCACTTAAATCTTAGTTTGTAGCCCTCAGTGAGTTTTGTTACATTGTTAACAGGGATTTTAAAAGCACATATTAAAATAGATAGTTATATATTCCTTAATTGGTTGAAAATGCTTCTAATAAATCTATTAGAAACTGACGACGACTGTAATGAATTTCATAATGAAATGTTCTTCTTATAGAATAAATGTTATGACAACTGTAATGAACTTCATAATGAAATTTTCTTCTTATAGAATAGATATTACGACGACTGTAATGAATTCATAATGAAATGCTCTTCTTATAGAATAAATGTTGCGACGACTGTAATGAATTTCAAAATGAAATGTTCTTCTTATAGAATAAATGTTAATTGAATTTTTTTACGTATTGAATATTTTATAGGTACAGCGTAAAAACAACAATCCCATGTTCAAGGAACAGTTTCTCTTTGGAGTCGACGAAAACAATCTTTGTCAGAGATCGCTGCTCTGTACAGTTTATACTTGTGATAAATACACCAACTCCATACTGGGAGAAGCTGAAGTCAAAATATCTGATTTAGATCTGAAACAGCCGTTTATGGGATGGTTCCCGATAGTCGATTCGAATCAAGTATGCCTCTTTTCAATAATTACAAATGAATGTTATAGTGTAGTTAGGCTTAATATATTCCAAAGGATAGATTAGGACAGAGTTAGGCTTAATATAATCAGAGGATAGATTAAACATAATATTATTATGTTTAATCCATCCTCTGATTGTTAAATCGAATTAAGTACGTCTCTTTTGATTTATTATAAGAGAAAGTTGCAATGCAATAATGTTTAATAATATCGCATTGCACTATGTTAAATATATCCTTAATCCGAATCTCCGAAAGTAAACATTTATGATAAATTATAAAGGAATGTCTCAGTGCCCATTGCTTTATGTTAAACATATCCTTAATTCGAAATTTCGATAGTTGTTTCGAATCAAATATATCTTTCTGTATATCAACTCGGCATTTAACTAATAGTTATCCTGATAAATTTGTAACTACGTTGGCAACTTTTTTTTTATTTAAATTTCAAATATTGAAAAAAATTATTTTTGTATTCATCAGATTACACAGTACCATGTTTTTTTTAAATAATATTAATAGTTTAATAAAAAAATAAATAACAAATTTTTTACGCTAACGATTATTAATCAAATATAAAATTTTGGAGACTATTCTCTAATTTAATTAAGAGGATCTGTTTCGGTATAAAATAAAAACAAATTCTCACACTTTTAAGATGAAAAAAATAATTTTTAAAAATAGTTTGAAAACTACATAGATTTAGGTACCTGTAACTCGAGAAGAAGACTACTGAAATCAGCTGGTTGTGCATGAACAAGCCAGTCTGTTTACGTTACAGCTATTAGACTTGCTTTGTTATTACACTGAATCATTCATTAACATTGTTATCACACTGAATCATTCATTATCATTGTTATCGCACTGAATCATTCGTTATCATTGTTATCACACTGAATCATTCATTATCATAGTTATCACACTGAATAATTACTTTGTTATCACACTAATCATCAATTTTCAAATCAGATTTAGTAGACACCTGCAAGTGAAATCACGCGTGGTGGTCGAACCCGATTATCGTGGCATAAGCAAATGGCATGATTTAGCAGTCAATCAGGTTCGATACCCACGAGTGGCGTCGCTTGTAGGTACTTAACTCAAATGGTCGTTTTACTATATTTCTTACAAATATTTTTGTTCTAGAACTTTTAATATTAAGAGGCTAGAACATTAAGTAACTGAAAAAAATGACAAGAAAAATATTTTAAATGTTTTTACAAATGCTCGCTTGAAATAATCATAGTCATTCAAACGATCAATCTTTAATCCGTCAAAAATCTATAATTAAAAATAGTTGATATATTTTTTAACTTATATATGATTTGTTTATATAGGGTCCAGCAGAATTAGGTGATATAATGTTTTCTTTGAGCTACTTACCCACTGCTGAGAGATTGACGGTGGTAATCGTAAAAGGTCGAAATTTGCGATGGGAAAAATCATCTCAACCATCAGGTAAAATCATCTTTAAACCATTAATTGATGCTTTTATGAAGGTATTTCTAAACATATATTTATCTTTTTATTAAAATATCGCAAAGGTCGCTGTTTTGGGTGTTTAATTTAACATTTCATTGTATCTTGACGCAAAACCTTTAAGACCTAGAAACTTGAAATTGCGAAGGTGCGTAGAAAAATATACAGAGAAGGAAATTTAACATTTGATAATTAGTTAGAGAAATAACTAACTGTTGAACTTGTAGGAGAAAATACCATTCGGGCCACTCTACAGACCACAGTATACAACTACAGAGCTGAAATCTGGTATGCTAAAAGGGTATTTGTCTATGAACTTAACATAGAATTTTTTTTTTCAAATTTCCAATTTGTTCGAAATTTGTTTTCGAATTTCCATTTGTTGTATAGTGAAATTTTTAATAACAAAAAAAACTTAATAAAGAGTGATAAAAACAGTTTTCCATTTGATTTTTTTTTTTTTTAGTCTGGACAACGAGTACGATTTCTTTCTTTTTATTTAATTGCACTATCCGTATTTCTTAGGTTAACTTTTTTTCTTCAAATACAGATGATTATTTTTTAAATCTAGGTAATCGTCTATTTCCTTATGATTAATATAATAACTTACATAAATCTGGAATAATTGTATAGTTTAAAAACAAAATGTTCTGTATTTTTGCCAAAAATATTGACGTTTAATAATAAAAAAAAAAACAGTGATGAAAGAGAATCAACTACGGAGGCTGGTGGGCGAAGTGAGCAGGGAACGAAGCCTCATAGTCACATAAAATACCGGTAAAAAAAAACGTAAACATAATTTTTAAACATCATCGGTTACAAAATGTTAACTCCAAAGCACTTTGTTTATTTCATGATTTTTCTTCTTCTAACAATCTTTTACATTTTTTATAATTATTCTTCTTATTCTTTCACGTTTTTCTTCATTTTCCTACGACCATCATTAAAGTCCTGTTTTTACAACGACTATAATTCTACTACATTGCAAAATCGCCTTAAACAATTTCACATACTTTGTTTAGAGTAAAAAATATTTTAACACCGTTTGCTTATTTGATAATAAACTTCGAACAAAAATAGTGGGCAAATAATGATTAAACTGTACAATTTTGCTCTACATAACGAAGTTCATCTTGTAAGTTTCTTATCGAGTAATGAAATAACAAAATTAACAATATCTCAAAATTCCTCATACAAAATTCATAATTCATAACATAAATTCATAATACCAAATTAATAATACAAAATTTAGAATACCTCATAATTCATAATACAAAATTCATAATACCTCATAATACAAAATTCATAAAACTGAAACCAATTCACAATCCCTCCCAGACATGTTTCATAATCTACCAAATTTAAACGGTAGAAACATTCTTGAAAACACATAGAAATTATGATACGTTTTAAGGAAATTAAAAATATTTCGTTTGTATATAGAAATATCATCATTTGATACCACATTTACAACAATTTACAGTATGTGAGAGATAAAATATCAGTCGTTATTTATTCTGTAATAGCAATTAGTTCTATTTGGTTTGTTAAATAGAACTAATTCTACAATTTATCAACAAAATCATCTAATGATGATATTAATTTTTTTATCATAATTTTTGTAGAATTCAGTCCTTTTGTGAAAGTATATCTTCTACAAAATGGGAAGAAATATGCTAAAAAGGAAACTTCAGTCAAGAAAAATGAAAGAGACCCAAATTTCAACGAATCGATGATATTTTCTGTACCTTCAAATGTCTTGCAGGTAATACTTAATAACTTTCCTTCTCGTAGTCTTCTATCAAGTTTCAAATGTGTGGATAACTTTTCTAACGAGATACAAACTAATCGCAATTTCTACTTATATTATTTTAATGAAATATTTATAAAAAGAAATATGAAACTAAGTTAGAAATTGTTGGAATTGAGTCTTTTAACTACCTATTTTTATCATCTTAAAGTGAGAGATACATCTTAAACTTTTATTGCCTTCAAATGTCTTGCAGGTAATACTTAATAACTTTCCTTCTCGTAGTCTTCTATCAAGTTTCNTAATAAAAAATAGTTGATCTGTTTTTAACTTATATATGATTTGCTTACATAGGGTCCAGCAGAATTAGGTGATATAATGTTTTCTTTGAGCTACTTACCCACTGCTGAGAGATTGACGGTGGTAATCGTAAAAGGTCGAAATTTGCGATGGGAAAAATCATCTCAACCATCAGGTAAAATCATCTTTAAACCATTAATTGATGCTTTTATGTAGGTATTTCAAAACATATATTTATCTCTTTGTTAAAATATCGCAAAGGCCGCTGTTTCGGATGTTTAATTTCACATTTCATTTTGTATCTTGACACAAAACCTATAAGACCTAGAAACTAAAAATTACGAAGGCATGTAGAAAAATATATATTGAAAGAAAAAAATTTAAAAATTGATAATTAGTTAGAGAACAATTAACTGTTGAACTTGTAGTAAAAAATACCACACGGGCCACTCAACAGACCACAGTATGGCAACTACAGAGCTGAAATCTGGTATGCTGAAAGGGCCACATTTGCCTATGAACTTAACATCGATTTTTTTTTCTTTTTTAATTTCCAGTTTGCTCGAATTTTTTTTTTTTTTTTTATTTNTTTTTTTTTTTTTTTTTTAATTTCGATTTGCTGTATAATTAAATTTTTAATAACAAAAAAAACTTAATAAAGAGTGATAAAAACCGTTTTCTATTTGATTTTTTTTTTTAGTCTGGACAACGAGTACGATTTCTTTCTTTTTATTTAGTCGCACTATCCGTATTTCTTAGGTTAATTTTTTTTTCAAATACAGATGATTGTTTTTTAAATCTAGGTAATCGTCTATTTCCTTATGATTAATATAATAACTTACATAAAGCTGGAATAATTGTATAGTTTAAAAACAAAATGTTCTGTATTTTTGCCAAAAATATTGACGTTTAATAATAAAAAAAAAAACAGTGATGAAAGAGAATCAACTACGGAGGCTGGTGGGCGAAGTGAGCAGGGAACGAAGCCTCATAGTCACATAAAATACCGGTAAAAAAAAACGTAAACATAATTTTTAAACATCATCGGTTACAAAATGTTAACTCCAAAGCACTTTGTTTATTTCATGATTTTTCTTCTTCTAACAATCTTTTACATTTTTTATAATTATTCTTCTTATTCTTTCACGTTTTTCTTCATTTTCCTACGACCATCATTAAAGTCCTGTTTTTACAACGACTATAATTCTACTACATTGCAAAATCGCCTTAAACAATTTCACATACTTTGTTTAGAGTAAAAAATATTTTAACACCGTTTGCTTATTTGATAATAAACTTCGAACAAAAATAGTGGGCAAATAATGATTAAACTGTACAATTTTGCTCTACATAACGAAGTTCATCTTGTAAGTTTCTTATCGAGTAATGAAATAACAAAATTAACAATATCTCAAAATTCCTCATACAAAATTCATAATTCATAACATAAATTCATAATACCAAATTAATAATACAAAATTTAGAATACCTCATAATTCATAATACAAAATTCATAATACCTCATAATACAAAATTCATAAAACTGAAACCAATTCACAATCCCTCCCAGACATGTTTCATAATCTACCAAATTTAAACGGTAGAAACATTCTTGAAAACACATAGAAATTATGATACGTTTTAAGGAAATTAAAAATATTTCGTTTGTATATAGAAATATCATCATTTGATACCACATTTACAACAATTTACAGTATGTGAGAGATAAAATATCAGTCGTTATTTATTCTGTAATAGCAATTAGTTCTATTTGGTTTGTTAAATAGAACTAATTCTACAATTTATCAACAAAATCATCTAATGATGATATTAATTTTTTTATCATAATTTTTGTAGAATTCAGTCCTTTTGTGAAAGTATATCTTCTACAAAATGGGAAGAAATATGCTAAAAAGGAAACTTCAGTCAAGAAAAATGAAAGAGACCCAAATTTCAACGAATCGATGATATTTTCTGTACCTTCAAATGTCTTGCAGGTAATACTGAATAACTTTTCTTCTCGTAGTCTTCTATCAAGTTTCAAATATGTGGATAGCTTTGCTAACGAGATAGAAACTATAATCGCAATTTCCACTTACATTATTTTAAAGAAATATTTATAAAAAGAAATATGAAACTAATTTAGAAATTGTTAGAATTGATTTAACTACCTATTTTTATCATCTTAAAGTGAGAGATGCATATTAAACTTTTATTGCCTTCAAATGTCTTGCAGGTAATACTTAATAACTTTCCTTCTCGTAGTCTTCTATGAAGTTTCAAATATGTGGATAACTTTGCTAACGAAACACAGATTAATCGCAATTTCTACTTATATTATTTTAATGAAATATTTATAAGAAGAAATATGAAACTAACTTAGAAATTGTTAGAATTGAATCTTTTAATCACCTATTTTTATCGTCTTAAAACGAGGGATACATATTAAACTTTTATACATTATGCATTTACATGATAAATTATCTTCCTTCAAATGTCTTGCAGGTAATACTTAATAGCTTTCTTTCTCGTTGTCTTCTATTAAGTTTCAAATGTGTGGATAACTTTGCGGACGAGATACAAACTAATCGCAATTTCTACTTTAATTATTTTAATGAAATATTTATAAGAAGAAATATGAAACTAACTTAGAAATTGTTAGAACTGAGTTTATTAACTCCCTATTTTTATCATCTTAAAGTGAGAGATGCATATTAAGCTTTTATACATTATGCATTTACATGATAAATTATCTTCCCTCAAATGTCTTGCAGGTAATAATTAATAACTTTTCCTCTCGTAGTCTTCTATGAAGTTTCAAATATGTGGATAACTTTGCTGACAAGATACAAACTAATCGCAACTTCTACTTATATTATTTTAATGAAATATTTATAAGAAGAAATATGAAACTAACTTAGAAATTGTTAGAATTGAGTCTTTTAACCCCCTATTTTTATCATCTTAAAGTGAGAGATACATATTAAGCTTTTATACATTATGCATTTACATGATAAATTATCTTCCCTCAAATGTCTTGCAAGTAATAATTAATGACTTTTCCTCTCGTAGTCTTCTATGAAGTTTCAAATAAGTGGATAACTTTGCTGACAAGATACAAACTAATCGCAACTTCTACTTATATTATTTTAATGAAATATTCATAAGAAAAAATATGAAACTAACTCAGAAATTGTTGGAATTGAGTCTTTTAACCACCTATTTTTATCATCTTAAAGTGAGAGATACATATTAAACTTTCATACATTATGCATTTACATCCCACTTATGTACTCTTTAAATGATATTTTGTGCATTATATACTGAATGTTGTGAACTAAACTGTAAGAAAGCAAACATGCTTCAAAAAATTTAGTTTCCCTTTAAATAGCCGAAAAGTTTTTTTTAGAAATGTTAAGAATAAAATAACGAAATTTGAAATTATAAAAGAACTTAATAAAGAAGTATTCTAACAATTGTATTGACTAAAATACTTTCTGTATACAAATCAGTTAATAATTTTAAAAAAATTATCACTTCCATTAGATATTGAAAACAACGTCAGAGTCGGATTTGAAAACCAAAAAAAAACCAATTCAATATACACTGGTTATCATAAATTAAGGAAAATTCACAAAAATCGCGATAACTCAAGAAATTACACATGGAATTTTATGAAACTTACCCACAATATACAACACATAGTAAGGTATTTAACAACATAAAAAGAAATTATCAGACATTAATAGTAGTATAGAAATTAGCACATGTATAAAATAAACAAATTGGAAGTATCGGTTTGCAATAGAAAAAGTACCTTTAATATGGAATATGATTGCCTCTAGAAGCAATACAGCACAAACAGCGATGTGTGATGCTTTCAATTATGCGGTCTATCAGTTCAATAGGAAGTGAGAGCCATTGCTCTTGTAAAGCAGTTGCAAGCGTGGCAAGGGTCTGAGGGGGCGGATTGATGGCAGATACACGCCTCCCTAGAGCATCCCAAACGTGCTCGATAGGATTCAAGTCCGGGGATCGAGCTGGCCACTCCATGCGAGTAATTGTTTCCTGTTGAAGATAATCATCAACAATGCGAGCTCTGTGTGGTCTTGCATTATCGTCCTGTAACAGGAAGCAATCACCAATTGCCCCGGCATATGGGCGCACATAAGCATCAAGGATGTTGTCTCGATAAACCTGAGCATTCACGGTTCCCCTTGGAAAGACATGGAGGTATGTGCGCCCTCCTAAGGATATGCCTCCCCAAACACAGACACTGCCTCTTCCGTATGCATCTCTTTCACGGATGTTTGATGGATGATAACGGGTCCCAGGTTCTCTCCATATCAAATAACGTCTACTGTCACTTTCTAGACTAAACCTGGACTCATCCGTAAAGAGAACAGGCCTCCATTGATCTGACGTCCAGTGGACATGTTGTCGGGCCCACTGCAAACGGTCTCTCCTATGGCGTGATGTGAGCGGCACGCAAATGGCTGGTCGTCTCGCATACAGACCACCTTCGTGGAGCCTTCTGCGCACAGTTGACGTTGACACCAACCTTCCGGTGGCTGCAGCAAGAGAGGATCTAAGATGTGTCGGAGTAGCGGTTCTATTCCTGCGTGCACTTAATGTCAAATATCGGTCATCGGCACTGGTCGTAACAGTTGGCCGTCCTTGACTGAACCTCCTAGATGCCGAATCTGTGGTTTGAAATTGCCTCCAAAGTCTATGAACCACAGATGGACTCACATTTAGCCATCTGGCCACTTCTGATTGACTCTGCCCTGCCTCTAGTCTCCCGATGGCTCTCCATCGTAGTTCTTCAGGCAAATGATGCCTAGAGGTCATTATTACGAATTGGCTATCTCAGATTTTCAATGTCGCAATCACAGTAAAATTTGTGTGCTTTCTCTCAAACTTGGACTTTTATGCTCCAGGCAGATGACGTAAGCCGAGTGCAGCGCCACTAATTTGCATATTGCAATTTTACTCAGCTACTCTTAGTGGACAACATATGCAAATTTTGCACGGTTTGGCTTACTTTTGAAAGAGTTATCGCTATTTTTGTGATTTTTCCTTAATTTATGATAACCAGTGTATAATGTCCATGGTAAAATTTGACAGAAAATAATACAAAAATAATTATTTAATAATTGAAGAAAAAAATAATGAAATAATTTGAGCAAAAATTATGTAGGAAATTAATTCTTGTGTTCTTATGATGCATGTGTCGAACCAAAATCATTTTTTAAAAACGGTTCATCAGTTATAAAAAAGAGAAAATATTTTTCGTTAAAGTTAATTTTGACTTTAATTGAAATTACATAAAGTAATATTTTAACATAAAAACAAAGAAAAATGTTACTTAAAACAATTCGCATAATATTGCATTTCGTTCATTTGAATGATCATCTAAGTCAGCAGTCAAACTAACGATCTTCATCATAATCAGTGATATCCTTTCTAATAATCTTAATCAAGGATATTTTCAATGATATCCTTCCTAATCGTCTTAATCAATGATATTTTCAATGATACCCTTCCTAATCATCTTAATCAAGGATATTTTCAATGATAATCTTCCTAATAATCTTAATCAATGATATTTTCAATGATATTCTTCCTAATAATCTTAATCAAGGATGTTTTCAATGATATTCTTCATAATCATCCTGACCATATGATATTTTCAGTGATATCCTAATCAATGATATTTTTTACATAATTTTACAGTGATTTTGCACAGCAAGGTTTTTCAAGTAAATGATATTGCTTTTCAGAATATGCAGCTGAGGATAACAGTTGCTGATTACCAAAGCTCAGATAAATGTCTGGCTGTTGGCCATGTGTTTGTTGGACCCTACTGTAAAGGAAAATCCTTATCGCATTGGAACCAAATGATGTCTTCCTTACGAAAACCAGTTGCTATGTGGCATCCCTTGAGGAAAACATCTGAGTTCTAGATTATTTTTATTGCAAACTTCTTTTTTTTTTCATTGCAAATTTGTTTCATTACAAGTTTTACATAAACTCTAAAAAAAATTTCTGTGCTCATCAGATCAAATCGTCAGTCCTAAAAGAATATATTATTTTTTGGGAGTCTCGACTTTAAAGTCTCGCAAAAAACGAATTAGTAAGAATAATTACTAGTAGCTCAGCACATACGGCGAATCCACACAAAAAAACTGACCAAAAGAGATAAAATGTGAAGAAAAAAATTTAAAACGTATGAATAATGTATTTATTCTATGTACGTTGTGTAAAAATCTTACGATTTAATGTGATTATAAGTGATGTCCCAATGTAAAAAATTTCAAAAAATCTTGATCCAATTAAGTCAAATATTAATGTATAATATTTGAGTAAATATTACGGACATGAGCAACTTAATTTTTAATATGAAGCTTTCAGTATTAGTGAAAAAATATCATTTCTCGAATCATGAATGATATTCCCATCTGTTTTGCAAATAAATAAGAAAATTAAACTTTCTTCAATGCAAATCATTCAAATAAAGCTACTGATCATTACAAATCATTAGTTCTAAAAACGAATATTTTTAGAGTCTGTTTGAGAAAAAAGCATTTCTATATGAGTGGTTCATAACCATAGGAAACTAAGTTTGGTTATCTCGATTGTGAATAATAACAGAGATAAATGATTATGCTATTATTTACCTCTATTATAGAAAATAATTCAAAAGCAGATATATTTGGTGCATTTACTAAATAATTTGATTATAATATCTTCGGTTGAAGGCATTGAACTACTGTTACAACTTGAAATGTTAAGAGAAAAAGTAAAACCAAAACATTTTGCTGTTTCTACGCTAACCATCATTTTATAATTGGCTTAGTTAACTATGGTTGTGAATTTCAATATTCCATTATCGAAATAATTAGTAAAAAAGTTTTGATTCTCTGTTTTAAAAGTATCTTTTTAAATTTCAGAAATAAATTACTGCCTGAAACTTTTCCCTTTGGTTTATAATTTCCAATGTGTTGTAATGTAACTTTCATAAATAATTTCTTCGAGTACATTTATCTAGAAGTAATTTGCGATTATTACAATATTTTGTTATAAGATGTTTTCAGAAATTTGAATTATTGTATTCTTTTATCACGTTTATGTAAAAGTATAAAAAAAATGCATTTTTTAACTGTTATCACTATTATATTTAATTTTGTGTACTTCAAAACAGCATATATATTTCACAGGTAATAATGAATTTCGTACAAAATCATTCTGGTCTCTAAAATCTCACCATTTCACTTTCAAAAATGTTACAATGCTTTTCTTTTTAAAACTTCCAATAGTTAAAAGAACAGATATAGACTGCAGATTTTACTAGATGAATCAAAATTGTAAGGGGTAGCTTAAAGTCGAGATCTGTTGAATGCTCATACAAGTATTTCAAATCCAGTTACATGCTTTAATGCAAGCCAGCATCAATTTCTAACCTATACAAATGGGAAATGCTTCCACTTGTACTTTACCCATACATAAGATAGTCTCAGCTAGGACTGTAGCAATTGTTTTTCTATATCTTTTGTATGCAAAAAAGAAGGGAAAATGCTAAATGGTATGCCAGAGGTCTTTTCTGTGAGTGGGTAAAGTTTTCTTGAAATTCGTACGTCCTATAAATTTTGCATCTTTAACTTGTGCCTATAGACAGCAATTTTTATACACTATTTTTGAATTAGATTAAACTGTAAGCGAGTAGTTACTAAAAAAAGCCACGTCTTGATCAAATCAAAAAATAAAAATTTTGATAGATCTGTAAGTTGCCCATAATGATTTCATAATTGATCATATTTTTAGAATCTCGACAACACATTGCTTAAGTGATAGCTAAAGTGTCCTTAAGGAATTAATAGAAATCTCTTTTTCTTTTATTTTTTGAGTACTTATCCTTAGAAGGAAGTCAGTAAGTTAGTCTAGTCAAAATGTTGGTTGCTAATCGACATAGCATTGAAAAAGTTTGAAAATACATGCTCAGTCTCTGATGTATCGAGTTTCCGCTGACGTAATTTTTATTGGTAAAAGAGGGGTAGCTATTCAGCGTAGCTCCAAAAATGTTAAAAAAAATATTAAATGACAGTCTCTGATAAAAGATATTAGATAACTCTGATGAGTTTACATAGACGAAATCTTCTTCGACATTCTGATCTTATATGTACACATAATTAATCTTTTTGCTTTGTTATTCGTTTTCTTTTTGATCTGAAAACACCTATTTGTTAGTAAAAAATGAGTTTCTAAACAGCATAGGTCCGAAAAAGTTTAAAAGATATTATACAGTCTCATATCAAGTTTCATTTTGACGTAAAATTCTCATCGGCATTCTAATCCTAGTTGTAATCAATATTTTTGTTCTATTGCTTATCTATTTTTTCATCGAAAAACCCTTATTTCTTATTAAAAAATAGGTTTCCAATCAGCATAGCTTCGAGAAAGATATTTAACTGTCTCCGATATCAAGTTTCATTTGATGTAAAAATTTTATTAGCCTCTCTAATTCTAGGCTTATACATAACTTATTTTTTCCACTGTTATTCATTTTTTTCATCAGGGAACGCGTTTTTGTGAGTAAAATGTGGGTTAATTACTAGTAATTAAAAGATACTACAATCTCTTATACATCGGTTCTTCATAATCCTAAACTTAGGTTATCTTTATCCTCTGTTATTCATTTTTTTTATCAGGGCACGCGTTTTTGTGAGTAAAATGTGGGTTAATTATTAGTAATTAAAGGATACTACAATCTCTTATATATCGATTCTTTATAAATCTAAACATAAGTCATCTTTATCCTCTGTTATTCACTTTTTTCATCAAGAAACACTTCTTGTTTAAGTAATAATAATTGTAACAATGTGTTAAAATAAATATAGTTTTCGCATTTCACGGAATTTGCGAAGCAATGTCATTCAGTTTGTCTAATTTAAAACTGATCTCCAGTGTAAAAAGAAAGGCGATTCACTTAAATTAATTTATAAGTGATAAGTGGTCAGCGAAACTATGATTATTTTTAGAAGCTTTTACTTCAAATATATACAACTGTATTATTTTATGTAAATAGTGAATGTGCACTACTTTTTAGATAGTTTTTCTTCGTTTAGAGCTTATTACAAAACTATTATTGCAATTTCTTTTGAATAAAATAGGGAAATAATTTGTTCAATATTTGGTTTTATCTAAACTGTTTAAAGACTAGTTCATGTTGAACCATAATACCTACTTAATGCATGTTGAACAATATTCAAATTTAGTGCAGCAGTAGTAAGATCATTACGTTTGAACCTTAAAATCGTTTTACTTAAAAGTTGATATTTAAATTTTAATCCTCATCTAGAAAAATTAGCAGTACACGATAGTAATGAACAATGTTCAGGGTTAATGTTCAGAGTTAGTTCAGAGCTATGTTCAGAGTTATAATGTAGTGTTCAGAGTTAGACTGAATAAAGATAGCATTAGTTTAAATAGTATTGTGGTTCTGCGTGAACTGATTTATAAACATGCACTGTATATAATTTTTCGGAAAAGTATTTATTATACTTTCAGTTTATTACATATTTTCACGTATATTGATGCACTTGTTCAACGTATTTTGTTTCTGATATAGTAATATTATTTTAATAGTACTTATTTACAAACTACTATTATAAGGAGAAAAATAATAAAAATATTAATCAAATTAAATTAATAAAGTAACATTTCTTTCTAATTCCATTGCAAATAGAATACAGCAAGAAAAATGTCTTAATATTTATTATTTTATTTTTATCAACAAACACAATGCGTTTTAAATTTATATTTAAAAAGCTTGACTTTATCCCTACCTTTTTTCTGTAATCACACAAATGAAAAAAAATAATAATTTATTAATTGTTGAAGTAATATTTTAAATTTTACAACATTTGTATCTTTTAAAATATAACTTCAGTTTTGTTTCATAAATATGTCAAATAAATATCTCTTTATGACTTTTTTAGAAACATTTTAAAAAAATCAAAAGCTAATATTTTATTTTAAATTATGTGCTTCCTGAAAATTAATTGCATATCAGTTGTTTGTAAATAAATTAATACTTTATGTTTTGATCAAACATAACTCTCTTATTGTGTCCAAATAATTGCTATAATTAATTTTAAGATTAATACTGTTTGTAAATTTGCATGTATAAATGTTCGTCTTGTCTATGTCAGTATTAAGATCTCAGTCAATGTGATAATATTGTAGCGACTTATAATTTTGTAAGCCGCACATATAATATCAACACCTTTACGCCAATTTTGAACCATTTACTCAAGATGTTAGCTCAAGTTTTCACTCTCTACTTAATAGTTAATTGCACTGAGAAAAAAATATGGTTAAAATTACTAGAATATGGTAAAATTTACCGTGTTTTTGGCTCTATGGAAATACCAAAAGAACTCAGTAATTTTTAACGAAGTGCTTTGGTAATGATTTTGGTAAAATTAACAATAAAATATGGTATTACTTGATAAAAAAACAAACCTCATTCGCTTCAAGAATGTAAAAATTGAAAATAATAGTATGCCAAAATTATGCCCCCCCCCCTAGTCTCATCAGCTCATCTTGATGCCCTGGAATCTTGTTTTATTCATATGAATATTGATTCCCTTGTTAACGACATTAGTTCTTCACAACATCTCCATAGCTCATGGAAATGCATTTTACCCTGATTTTTCCCTCTCGGCCACTGTGGTTTTTCTTGTTCTGTTTTTCTCTCTCAGCTAGTATGATTTTTCCAGTTTTGTTTTTTTATTTTTCCATTTTTTGGTAGCAGTTTTACGTTTTATATTTCAAATCACTTTTCTTCTCTTTTACGTCTTACAAGAAAAAAACAGATTGTTAATTCCGATTTACATTTTTCCAATCAATTAATATCTCCGCAGTTTCTAGGGGTCTGTGGGGACCCTTCAGTTTCTAGGGATTATTTATTAAAATAATCCCTAGAAAATATGTCTTTATAATTTAAGACAATATGCAGAAAAATTTTGTAATTTTATAATGATACCTTAGAGCATGACATAACCATTTATTTCGTAAAAATTTACTTTACCGTTTCGTATTTTTTAGGAAAGGTGTAATAATAAGAACTATAATTTTAAAAACCAGAATTTCCAGAAAATCGTTATCAAATAAACGGAAAAATTACAAATGAACACTTTAAATAATGCATATTTTGATTTTATTAAGCAGAATTATGGTTTTCTTTACCAAGAATGACATTACCATACAGTACGTTAATTTTACCAGATTTTTTTTCTCCGTGTGCTGGCCCTTTGTTGTAGCATTCAGAAACATCTTAACGATATATGTTTCAAAAGTCAATTCCATTTCTATGTTCATGATGCTATCCATTTAATTTTAAATTTAATTAAAGTTTCGAATTTTAAAAAGCTAAACTTAAACCTTATGAAATGTTAGTTGTGAGTAAGGTATTGTTTCAGCGACTTTTGCGGTTAAGTCTTTAAGTCTCCACCACTATAAGTCTTTATGTTTAAATTTTTTCAAAAAAATTACACTGTTTTGAATCGTAAAATAAAGTAACTTTTTCTCTTATTTAAAGTTTTAATTTATTTCTAAATTATAAAGTAAATTAAAGCCACTTACTAATTAGGCCTATTATTTTCAACTGATTTACTTGTATTAATTTGTATAATATTTTTTTTAATGTTTGATTTAACACGCGTTTACTTTGTAGGTTTTTAATTTAACAATTTAAATTAATATATTAAATCGGGCAATAATTTTGGTTCAGTGAAAAGAAATATTATTCCTGAAAATAAAACTTTTAAACTGATTTTTTAATGTTAATTTCTTCAGAAATTAGAAAAGCAGCAAATTTTTGGGGCCTTAAGGTGTTTGTGTTGAAAAACATTTCTCAAATGTACGAGTACGTTAGCTAAACGTGTTATTTGCAAATGTTGTTTTCTAGCATATACATATCATTAAGTTGATAATCTCTTATAAAAGCTGATTAGCTTTGTAAACACTTTAACTTTGTTTTAAGTGATAAAAACATGGTTCTATTTCTTTGTGATAAATTTCTTTTATTATACTAAGCGTTTCGGTATAAAAACATATCATTACTTTGATATTGATTATGTTGTATAACAGCTGCCTGTATTTAAAATCATTAAGTAATAATTGTGTTACATTGTGTGTTGTTTTAAGTGAATAAAGTTTGAATTTTGTTCAAGGTTTATGTTTCATTGTCTGCATATTAAACATTTAAGCAACATATTGTACGCGTCATTTAACGGAACTGACAATGAAAGTGAAAATACTGCCGGGAGTGATACTTAATAAATTATGTTAGTAAGTACTACTAGTATTGCGGTAATGAGTAATAAAGTACCATGCTAATAAGTTTATTAAAAGTTAGGAAAGTTTATTAAGTGTCAGTGCATGGAACTATAAATACTGCCGAGAAAAAGTTTAATTATGTTAGGAGGCACTTCTGGCAGTGTAATAATAAGTAATAAGTATCGTGGTGATAAGTGAAAACTTTCAAGAAATATATCGAAAGTGTCACTCAATGGAACTATAAATAATGCCGAGAAAAATGTTTAATTGAGTTAGGAGGCACTTCTGGCAGTATGATAATAAGTAATCAGTACCGTGGAAATAAGTGAAAACTTTTAAGAAATATATCGAAAGTGTCACTCAGTAGAACTGAAATGGAACTCACTGGAACTATAAATACTGCCGAGAAAAATATTTAATTAACAATGTTAGTAGGTATTACTGGAAGTGTAATAATAATTACAGTGATAATAAGTTAAACCTTTTAAAGAAATATATCTTAAGTGTTACTCAATGGAACTGAAAATACTGTCGGGGATGATAATTGATTGTGTTAGCAGGTACTAATGGTATTTTGATAATAAGTAATAAGATCAGATAATAATAATAAGTATCTAATAGATACTCTGTTAATGAATTGAGAATCACTGGCGTCCTAAATAGTATGATAATTTCGAGTCCGGGAAACGGGAAAGTAAATAAATTGAGAGATTTTAATTTTAAACATTTAATTGTGAATAATAATTATAATAGCAAAACCTTAACGTAATACTTGCAGATAATATTATTAAAATATATTATTGAAATATATTTCAGAGAAAGGATAAATAAATAACCTTTGAACCTTTTTATTAATTTTATATTTATGACAAGCAGGAATAATGTCTTCCATGTTTATTAATATCATGTGATTTTTCTTTCGTCTGATTAAAATGTTTCAAGAATGATCAAAAATTCAACCAGACAAATCAATTTTTACATTAGAGAACGACACACTATGTACAAAACATATGGAATAAAAACGTCAAAATAAATTGAATATAAAAGTCTTCTTAAAGTAATACAGACAAACGTGTAAGTATTCATAAACAAAATTTTGATGTCTTTTCCTTACAGATGTTTTTGTTCGGCTCGTTCCGTTGATTCACTCCAATCTGTAAAAAAAATGTAAATAAAATAATGCACATTAAATATTCTAGGAACTATCTTACATAAAATAATGTGTATGCTACTGATAAATGGTTATCAGTATGTGTAGATGACGAAATGCACTAAATAATATTTCATTTCAGGTACTTACTGCAACATTCAGTTCGAAGCAGCTACGTTAATATAACTAAATGTTAAAAAATAAATAAGTACAATTCAAAAATAGGACATTTTAAACAAAATCATATATTTTCTAATAAATAAATCATATTTTTTTTTAGATTTCCTTAGATGAAACACAAAAATAGAATTTTTTTACACGAAGTCATATATTTTGTTTTAAATAAATCATATTTTTGTAGATTTCGTTACATGAAATACAAAAAATATGATCCAGCAAAAATAAAAAAATTTATACAAAATCATATATTTTGTTATAAATAAGTCATACTTCCTTGTAAAACAAATAAAAACAGGTCACAAGTAGGACATTTTAAGCACAATCATATATTTTGTTAGAAATAAATCATATTTTTGTTGATTTCGTTATATGAAATACAAAAAGTGTGATCCAGCGAAAATAGAATTTTTTTATACAAAATCATATATTTTGTTATAAATAAATCATCTTTCTCTGTAAAACAAATAGAAACAGCTCACAACTAGGACATTTTAAACAAAATTATATATTTTGTTATAAATAAATCATATTTTTGTTGATTTCGTTGCATGAAATACAAAAAGTATGATCCAGCAAAAATAGAATTTTTTTATACAAAATCATATATTATGCTATATATAAATCATATTTCTTTGTATTTGATCATATGAAATGCAAAAAATACGATTTAGCGAAAGTAGTATATTTTATACAAAAACATGTAATTTGTAAAAAGTAAATAATATTTTTTGTATTTCGTAATAATAACAAAGAATTATAAAAAAATACAGTTGGATAAAAATAGTATATTTTATGCAAAATCAAATATTTTGTAATAAATAAATCATACTTCTCTTTATTTCATCACATGAAATACAAAAAAACAATGTAATCAACAAAAATAGTACTTTTTTACACAAAATCATAAACTTTGTATAAAAAGTACTACTTTTGATAGACCGTATTTTTTGTATCGAAGAGCTATTCTTACTAGTTCGGCTGCAATAAACGATATTCCAAGCAACCAAGCATTGCAGATGACCCTGTTGTTATTCAACGCTAAGCTCTATAACTGATGACGGCCAATGCAGGGAACAGTATTTAAAATATAAGAAACATAAAGAAAATTACAACTCACTTAAATTGAATATCATCCTTAGTTAGAGCGATTCCCATCTGGGCAAATTTAAGTCGAATTACAACATCTGTAAAGGGCATTCTCGAGGCATTCGATATGAATATCAGGAAGGTTTTAAATTCAGAAAATGTGAGACCCTTATACCTGCAAACAATATTAGATTCCTGTGAAATACTCATGAGAATCATGGAATCATTAGAATCATACAATCAAAGTTGTGATAAGTGTTGGTAGCCATTGAGTCAAGGGAGAAAATTATTTAAAATTTGATGTAACCTCATTATACTTTGTAATAAAATTGTCCATCGTTTTTCTTATCTTACCAGTGAGACAAAAACTCTATATTTCGGAAGTTCTAAACTGAAGTAAAAGCGTTTATAAATTTTCCATAAAAATTTCTCTTTTCAGAACGGTTTTAAGAACATAAATACGATACAACGTTTACTTCAAATTACAATCATTTTCAATTTTACTTCAAAATTACGACTGAGTTAACAAAATTCGATGGTTCTGTTCTTTGTGACTTGGGAATGTTCTCTGGCCAGTTGAGTAAAAAAAAATATTTAGTAATATCAGTTACGTCATGTAAACGTAATACAGAGAAAATTGCATCTGACGTCATTCTGTAGCAACTTATAACTAAAACTTTTAGTCGATGGTCAGAGAATTGGCCTGTATTCAATTCCAATAATCTTAAAATTATAACTATTATCTAGGAAAGAGATAACAAATTTTAGAAACAATAAAAAAAAATTATGCGTGTGGTATTTAGGCTGATTTTTTTGAAGCACTTCCACCAAATGAAATAATAAAAATTTTATTGAATAATCTACTTTTTATTACTTTTGCGAATTTGTAAGAGGTATTCATAAAAGTTTAGAGAAGTTAATTTGTTCATCAAATCAACAACTTCTGTGTTAATAATGAAAATGGCACAAAATGTCAATATAAAATAAAGTTAAAGTTTTGGAAAATGAAGCGCGTTTATCATGTAATTTCTAAAGATTTTAAAAAAATTAATGGCTACATTGGTAAGTTTCGTAACCAATGAAAACTTTGGCACGAAGACTGAGAATCATTTTTAAATTTCAATAATTTCCATCCATGTGGAAAAAATTGTTCCAATTAGGCTATGATTTAAAAACAAAATTAATAGTTTTCTGAATATTTAAAGTATTTGAGTTTAAAATAAAATTTTCTTCAAGTTTGAAGTTTTTTTATCGTGTCTTTTTTTCGGCCTTTTTGTTTTTTCTTATTCCTTATTATCCTGACATTTATTATCACGTGGTCAGGGAATTAATGACAAAGAAACTTACCTGGTTCCTCCTGCAGCATAGAAGCAAAACCCTGTTTGAATCAAGGTGAGGTTCATATAATCTAAAATTCCCACCATTTCTAACCATTTATCTGCATCCGCTAATATTATTCGATTCTTGTTCAATTCATCACTCTTTGTAAATTCATGGAACATGTCCTTCAGATCTTCATTCCAGGTTTCTTCTAAGGTAACCCCTTTTTCTTTGTCTCGCAGATCACCCTACATCAATAACATAAAGATAATTAATTCAAGCATTCAGCAATCCTTCAGCAGACTCACAGCAGCTGTAGCAGTTGGGAACCATAAGAGGTGAAATGTAAATAGAACGCACACGTCACAATAATTTTTCTTCTCGTAATGAGACCACGTCATTTGAGGGTGAAACAAGAGAGAAATTTTCTACCTTCCATTTCTTATTGTTATTTCAATAGAAGAAGATCAATGCAGGAATTTCAAAGTCAACATTCAAAGTTAAAATATGATGGTTTACTGTGCTGCATTTGGTTGTAAGCTATGAATTTGTTAAAGGAGAAGCTTATACTCTTCATAAGTATAATCACTTTTGGAATTTCAAATTTCAATTGTTTTAATAACTATGTAAAGGATCTTTTATCTTATACTTCTTTTCCTTAATCATCATATGAATCAAAATTATTCCATTTCATTCCTTCTAGAATCATAATTTATTCTTTGAAAGCTATCGTATTAGCAAATATAAACGAATAAAAACACAACTTAACCATAAAGTAATGATTATGTAGAATTAACAATTATAAAAACATAATTTTTTTTAAAATTTTAGTGACAAAATATAGATGGTGAAATTTTGGCGTTTATTTACTTGCCTTCTTCGTTTATTTATATTACATTTATTTGTACTCTATGCCATTAAAATAATAAATATTTTAATATTTTTTTAAATATCAGGAACTTGCATTGAATTAATTTAGTTTATAAAATACATTTGTTTAGAGAAGATTATTAAAAAACTATTCGATAAATAAAGCAAAGTATTTTAGCACTTAACTTAAAGTTCTTTGATGAAATCGTCAGAATTTTTTTTACATTAAAACCGACTGCTCTTTTAAAATTGCAATAATACATAAAAAGAGAATACAATCGGTTGCCCTTTTTTTTGGCATGCGAATTGCACCATATTCGTCACAAACTTAAAAGAAAAAAACCATTAATAACAAAATTTACACAGCTTTAATGAACAAATAAAGAGAAAAAATGGTCCCATATGATGAAGAACAAAATGCTCTTTCATCAAGGCTTGACATCTGGCTTCAACTCGACGACTACGAAAGTAAAACGGAATGAACTGAGCTCTGATTTGCCATTCCACCCACTGTAATCTCCAGATCTGGTCCCTAAAGGCTATTACCTGTTCTTGAATTTCAGAATAATATTCCAGATTTTAAACTGTATCACTCCTAAAGGAAATTCTATTGATGAATTCAGTCGAATTTAGTTAAATTAATAATAATAAGAGGAATTTTTAACAGCTATAGTCTTGGGACATTTTGATGTATGAGATAAAGGAGGGGGGAAATGCTTCAGTACTGACCTGTTTACGATATTCAACTTCCGTTTCAGGCAATTTCTTTTTCAGCGCTTGAAGTTTTCTTCTCGAGATCCTTGGATGTTTTCTGTGTCCAAATATACCGAATCTGGATCTGGATGTCGAAATATCATACCAAGGTCTTTGCTGGCTATCCATACCAAATGCTACCTATATATCAGAATAATAAGAAAGTTAATTTAGTGAACTCGGAAAAAAAACATTGGGCAAAACTTCCGAGTCTGTTAATTAAGTCCACGTGGTATAGGATTCACATAACATTTTTCAAATCGTTGCACAAGATGCTTTTCTTTGTTGTCCTGTATAAGTTACCTTTGCTTGCTGTTCCATAATAATTATCGTCTGAAATAATTTTTTGCGTTATTCCAAAATAATTATTGAGCATACTTTTATCAGTTATTTTATTCTGAGGCTCTTTTGTGCGCTGACCTGTAATATATGTCCTAAATTTTTATGCACTGCCCATGAAACATTTAGTTACGACCTGTTTTCTGAGTCTAATTTGAAAACAAGTGAACATAAAAGCAGGAACAAAAAAACTTAACGAAAAGTTTTTTCTCTGAGAAAACTGTACAACAAAGTTTAATGCAAAAACATGTCTGTGAAACATTCTAAAAATAGGTTCTAGAGGGAACGTGTCCACTCCTAAATCCAATATCTTGATCGCATTGTTTGCTTAATTGGGGCAATGGCACTTTTTCCCCATTATTCATTCATTAATTCATAACTCATCGGAGGTGATCGGAGGTGAATCATCACATTTTTCTATTCTGAAGTCAATCAGATTCAGTATTTAAGCGTGACGTTGCTTACAGGCCTAATCAAATCTTTAAATCAAAACTTATCCAATTAAATCTGATTAAAATCACATGGTTAGGCATAATCACTTCACTTCTTTACGGATTGCAAGCACCCAATTTTAGCAATGTCAAGATACGCGTAACATAGAAAGAAATAATTACATTTAGGCTCACACAAAACTATAAAATTGCCAAATTTGATGATTTTAAGCATATTATTTTTTTAAGTGATACCAACCTAGTCAACAATGCATCAACAGCTATCGTAATATAAAACTTATCTTACTCGCCTTTTCTGGTTCTTCAGCTGTTGCTTCAATTCTTGTCCAGTAATCAGTACCAATTATATAAGGGCCCACCCATGACTCCCTTCTCTGATGAAGGGCAGTAACTGATTCACCTGGTAATTCGATTAGACTTCCAGGACGCCACTCTGTAGTTAGATTCATCATGCTGGGAGCAGTCATCTTTGCATCTGGTGCTGGACTCAGCTTAGGACCAGGCACTGTGGGCATATCTAGTAAAAATAAATAATAATGATGACATATATTCTGCCTGAGTTTAAACCATTATGCTCAGTCATGAAAAGTAGTCTCTATATGAACAATTAACCCAATAATCAAACATGCAGGTCACAGGAAATGAAACAACATACCTAGGTGAAGGCTGAAACTGAGCTAATATTTTATTTACAGAAAAGAGCAGGGGTCGAAAAAACTCAAAAATTTTACCCGTCCCCGAGGACGGCTTGTCCAACAATGTACCCGTCCTCCTTTGAAACTAACTCGTAGCTTCTAAATATATAAAAATATAATTTTCTCTTATTTATTACAAACATTTATATAAATTGCACAATNTTTTTTTTTGTAAGTTTTTTTTTTTTTGTCCCTTTCAACCGCTGCAGTACGGGATACAGAGAAAACATCCATTCCACCATGCGCAGTATGTTGCTGTATTCCTAGATTAGAGGGTCATTTCTGAAGTGAGGCGCTAGACTCTTGTAAGATAACAAAAATTGAAAATGTATCACCAACATTAACGGGAAAATGGCCGTCCGCGCGGACGTCGGATTCGAGAAATTCGTTGTCCTCGGGGAATTTTCAACCGCCGAGGACGGGCGGACGGGTGGTTTTTCGAGCCCTGGAAAAGAGATTATATTTATTACAACACTACTTCCATAAACACTAGCATTTGTGCTGCCATCTATGGATTAAATGTTAAACTAACGCATTTAATAATATATGAAAAATATGGATTATATATTTTTTAATATCAGTTTGATGTTTATTTCTATTCGCCACCAAGCCTACCTTTTTGAATCCTCTTTTTCTTTTGCTGAGAGGTCACGTGCGCGCACTTAGAGTCTACACTGTTCTCCGAATGCCCTCTGACGGGAGCGGGACGGGGTTAAGCTTTGATTTATTTCTGTTACCTCCCACTTTAACTTTAAAAAAGTACTGTACTTTGACTTCAGTTTCAAATGTAAATACAGTCGTATCGCAATCTAACGTTCCCGAATCTTTCATCTTCTCGTATGTATCGTCTTATTTTAACTGTCCCGTCACAAAAGCTGTTCTCATTATGTCATATCCGGTTAGATCGCAAACTAGCCTTTATCGTTCAAAGATTCTATTGACATTTTCGAAAAATATTGAAGCTAGTTCGCTTTCAGAAGAAAAACAGTAAGTCATGATTATAATGATGATGAAGAAAATTTGGATTTTTTTTCACAGCGAGGGGAAAACGCCTCAAACATCACATTTGATGTTCTAGCATCAGTTGATGAAAACGTTGAAACTTGCGATGTTGTTGGTTCAAAGAAATGATAGCAGAAACTGAAGAAGTACAGCAACGTGATAAAGATGGAGACGATGGAGTTAGGTAACTAGGTCTCGAAGACTTTGAGATAATGAGATACTTTCTATATTCATAGGAACTTATAGGAAATTTACAGGAATCTGTTACAAACGTCAAAAAATAATTTCTTGCGCTAGGAAGAAAGGATCATGTGCAAACCAAAATTTACAAGTAAATATATTGTATTCCTCCTTCTTTTGCATCGTCAAAATTTTTGCATTAAGTACATAACTTATTATTATTATTTTGATAAATTACATAATTTATAATTTATGTAATTAATTGTTATTAATTATTTTTTAAACTGATTTTTAAATTATTTATTTTCAAATACATTACTTCTTTATTATTTTTTATGCATTTAGTCGTTGTTCATTATTTTAATTTGACCCGCTTTCATCGTTTTTCCGTATCTATCGTTCGTAATGACATCAGTTCCTTGAGAAATGATTTATTCGGGGTTCTACTACATATTTATATTATTTGTATATTATGTTATAGAAAAGATCTTGTTTCCATAGTTTCTCTGAAATAAATCCCACGAATGAAACACTTCTGTTAATTGTTATTAATTATTTTTTAAACTGATTATTAAATCATTTACTTCCAAATCCATTACTTCTTTATTATTTTTTATGCATTTAGTCATTGTTTATTATTTTAATTTGACCCGCTTTCGTCGTTTTCCCGTATCTATCGTTCGTAATGACATCAGTTCCTTGAGAAATGATAGATTCGGGGTTCTACTATTTACGTATATTATTTGTATATTATGCTGACCGGTTTGTGTAGGGGACAGGGAACTGTCATTGCATCAGAAAAGTCCTGGGTTCGAATACCAGGCAAGGCATGGATGTTTCTTTCTCTCTCTGTGTGTTCTATGCCCTTTCTTCTTTGTGTGTGAATGTGACCCGCCCTATAAACGGGTTGTGGTTGTGTGAATGGCGTGGCAGAAGTCGAATTCCTTCGAATTCCTGCCCATAGATGGCGCCACTGAAAAACAGGAACAATCGCACCCCCACTGTCTAAAATAGGCACACGGCAAAAAAAAAATTGTATATTATGTCATAGAAAAGAACTTGTTTCCATAGTTTCCCTGAAATAAAAACTTTTGTTACCGTTTTTATTTTTTGAAAAAAGTACCACTAGACTCTGATGAGTTTGAACGTTTTTACCCATCGGAGTACATATGCAATAATTAAACGAGAAATAGAAAAAAAAATAGTTTCTAAAATGGAGAAGAAGAAAAAATGAAAAAAGTTTTGCTCTTTAGCTAACAACTTACCTGTTATAGGAACGGCTGTCTTGGATTTTAAATTCATGACTGTAGCTTTTGATTTTAGCATCGAAGATTTGGCTAAAGCGAGATGATCCGACTTTTTTCGCACTCCTAAAAATAAACCATAAGAAGTATTTTTATATATAACTTATTTTAATCTATAACTTATAATTATGTATAATTGTGTATTTTAATCTATAACTTATAATTATGTATGTATAAAAATGCCGTATTAGTTTGTTTGTTTTTTTAGCAACTGAGAAACCCAAGTAGCACAGGGATATTGTAACAGCTTTAGTCTACATCGACCAACATTGTCAATATTGGCGAAAATCGACATTGTGTGTACGATATTGTACGATTCCCGTCGATTTCACATTAAAAGTCTGTTTGTAAAACTTTTCATTTTTAACTTTATTGTGTTCTTAAATCAAAATTAATCATTTAAAAAACAAAAAATGACGTCAAATTATTATAATTCCAAAAAATAAATTTAAAATATACATTTAGTAGCATTTGTAAATGCTGAGAGATATCGATCGACGTTCCCCAACATTTTTACAATATCGAACAATATTGTTTCGCGATATTGAATATACGTTATAAAAGGGGTACATTTTTATATAGTATGTGGTGATGGGTTCGCCGCTCATCATAAAATCAAGTTTATTTCATATTGTTATCTGTTTGTCTTTAATTAATTGTGTTTTTACTTATTTTTGAAGTGAACTGAAATAAGAGTTCTGACGTCATATTCTTAGAATTGTATAAATACCCAGATAAATATCAGCACGCACTTGACAGCCTGTCAGTATTTTCTCCCATCACCTGCCGTGATGATGTTTTTGTAATTCAAACCAACTTGTATATAAATGTAAATAAATTATGTTCAATAAAATATTAGTTTCTCGAAGGAGCTATCTTCGTATACTTCAAGTACATTGTTTCGCTATGATATTGTTCAATGTTCAAAGCTAAGTTTTTACGATATCGTTTTTGTGAATCGTGCTACTTGGGAAACAAAAGAAAGGGAAAAGATTTTTTTTTCCCTTTTTCCAAAATTTTTCAATGAAGACATATATTTTTAGAGAGGAAAATTACTTTTAAACTTTCAGTTTGTGAAATAATGTGATAAAATAATTTTCCCATCTAAAGGAATCGCAGGGTCCAAAGCAGAATCGTATAACATGCGCCATGCACGAATCTTTCAACTTCTATTGGATACCTACGAGTGACGTCATGGTAGGTAAATTGTGGCGTCGCTTACAGGTATCTGATTAAGCATTATATAAACTGCATGATTAGGCCTAATCATTTTATTTCTCCTCGAGTTGCAAGTTCAGAATTGTGTTTTCCAAGAAAATGCATTTCTGAGGCATTGCATATCTGAAGTATCTCCTTAATGATGCCTCAATCAAAATTATTAATCTTCTTTAATGTTGTTATAATGTTATTATAGATAATCTAATTTCCTTTGAGGCAGCACAAGATTTTTAAGATATTGCTGTTTTTCTCTAATCTTATTAGCTACAAGTGCTCACTTTTTTATCACTTGTTTGATTTATCGATGTATAACCAAAGCTACATGTAAGCTGTCCGCTATGTAATGCTGTTATTTATTTTTGGAATCAATTAATACACTCCATACTCCTTTCAGGAAGAATCAGATATTCGATCGAAATGGGTTAAAGGTAGAGCAGAACTCTTTACTTATGGCAACACTTCGTATGCTTTCACCATTAGCGTGCGGAGAGGCATGGGAGAGGAAGATCATCAGTTTCTCTCCTGATTTTCAAATGGATAAAAAAAAACTTTTACGTTAGGAAACTATATGAAACAGAAAACTACACTAAACGTAGTTCTACAAGAAAACATCGTGAAAATTTTAAAAAAAATATTTGTGAGAATTAAATACAAAAAATATTAAACAATTGGAAAATATCGTAGTACATTCCTATACAACTGAAAAGAGGAGGTTTTCTACCCAGATGGCTTCGAGCGCTGCGATCGCGAATGCTAAAACCTTTACTTTTAACCCTTTGCTTATCAAAATATCAGTGAAAAATACATTTATTTGTATTTGAGAATGATATTGACACCCTAAGAAATAAAATAAAAAACTAATATGTTGGTGGTGCTCCGTAATGACCACCCTTAAAATGTGTGACATTTCAGACTCAAGAAACTATGCACGTTGGTGCCTACAAATTGATATTTAAGTAAGAAAGAAAAAAGAGTTTTTAAGATCTGACATATCACAATGGTCAGTAAGAGCAAAGGAGGTATTGAAATATTCTAAAACACGTTTAATTGAGGATGAAGTTTAAAAATAGTGCTTAGCAAAGGACAAGTGCATTCCTGTTTCACTGACTAGAAAAAATGGTTTTGGGGTTTTTTTTTAATCGCTCCTTTTCTCTTTCCGATGTCAGTAATATAATCGGCCAAAGCTTGTAAACTGTTATTTTTCTCATAGGGCTCTTGATGAACGACACCTAATGTGCCTAATTCTCATACTCCATTTTTTCTGTTCGTTTTTCATATATGAATTTACCACTGTATTGAATTAACCTGTATAAGGCAAATTCCATATACAAGGGGATTCAGTAAAGTGATTCCAAACTTGAAGGGGATCTAGAGCACATCATAATGATTGAGAATCGCAACTCATGGCTGTAAATGTCATTGTATGCTAGGGGAGCCTTCCGATTATGAACTTACTGTTCATGAGCGTTTAAAACGGTAATTTTCATTTACCTAACTAATATTATATTTTCTAATGATTATATTTTATTTTATTTTGTAACCATCGTTGAACAGCAGACCCAATTTTTTTGGGTTAACGGCTACTAATGTTCAACTCCGTAGCCTCGTAATTTTGAACACAATCAAGAAGACAAGGGAACTCCTGGATCAAGTAATGGGAGAAATTTTGCCTTCGTGGCTGACTTTTTTAAAGGCACTAACCTGCATTTGCGTTACATGAAGAGGAAAACGACGAAAACCTCCCATGGTCAGCCTGATGGCAAGGGGACTCTAACCCATTATCCGTTTTCCACTGATTATATTTTACGTCAGCACTGTGGTCGGTGCAAGTAGGATGCGGAATTTGTATCAACCAGCCATCGCTGCGATTCGAACCCGGCTCACCTCATTGGAAAGCAAACACTCTATCCCCTGAGCCATTACGACTCTCTATGGATTATAGCCAAAAATTGCATTAAAAAATTTCCGGCTTAAATTGTGTTAAATTCTGTTATTCATTGATTTAGCGATTCACTTGCGAAGCTCGCCATTTCGGTTGGCAAATTACGATAAAATAGTTATTTCCGACTTTACTTAAATGCAATTTGCAATTACAATTATTAGGAAACATAAACTTGGCACAAAATTAAGATAACTTAATTAATAAATTCAGCTGTTCAAATGCGCATGAACAGTCAGTTCGTAATAGGGAAGCACCCCTAGCAGCATCTGATAATGTGTTGCTAAGTAATTCTCAATTATCATGATGTACCGTACCTCCCGTCAAAATTTGTAATCGCTGTTCTGAACTACCCTGTGTATCTAAAAAGATCTTTCATAACAAAATGCGTTATCATATAACTTACCTGTTGTTTGATCTTCAGATATGGATTTTAAATTCTTGACTGTGGATCTTGATTTTAGCATTAGAGATTTGGCTAAAGTAAGATTTACCGACTTTTTGGGTCTGTAAAAATAAGCTTTTAATTCCTTATCTGTTTCTTCTATAATTCTCCTTCTTTCTTCTAAGTCTGCCTTATGCACAGGTACTTTTTGGGGAATTTCATCCATATGTTCTTTCATGACGTCCAGCAAAAGTTGGGCAATGAATCCCTTTTCACCAATGGCTAATTGATCTTCTGTTACTTGGTGAGTACCATGAATTACTTTTCCTTCGCTTGATAATTGAGGTAATAAAGCTGAATGCCTTTTGTAGACATAGGTATCGATTTCCTCTTTTGTTGGAGTTTTGTCTGGTAATTGGTTGAGAAACGTAACGGAACGTTTCAGAAGACTTTTGTCAGTTAATTTTTTTTCCAGTTTCGAACTGGGCACCGCTGACTGACTCACGGATGCTAATGAAGTATCTTGGTCAGATTCAGAAATTTTCTCAACAGAATCGCTTGGCCTTTTCCTTAGTATACTTTTCAGTGATTCTGAAAATGGTTCCTTCTTAAAGTATTTTTTTTCCGAAGGATCTTTATCTTCTTTTTCGTCGAAGACCTGTTTTAAGACGATGGGTCCTTCATCTTCACTCCTTACATCCTCGTAAATTTTAGTTTTATCCTTCTTTGGAAGAATGTAAGAGGTCGAAATCTTCTTTCCACTCACCATGGCTTGAGGGAACTTCTTGAATGTTTGTTCGAACACTTCTTTGGAAGTGATTGGGGGTGTTTCTTCTGATTCCTTCTCTTTGGCCTCTGATTTCGTTTTCCTAAACCCTAATCGTTCAAGGTCTTCAAGTCCTTTTCTTTCACTTACTGGATCACTCTTTGAATCCGAAACAGCTTTCGACTTGCTGATTTGCTCACTTATATGACTGCGTATTTCTTTTTGTTCTTTATCAACTTCAATTTCAGACTCTCCCGTTATGCTACTGTCGACTTCAGGCTCAGCACTCAGATCACTGTCTATTTGAGCACTCGAACTTCCATGTTGACTGCTTCGTTGGGATACCATTGATATTCTATCTATTGCTCTTTGAAAAATATTTTTGGAACTCCCTGTTGTTGCTTGAGATTCTTCCGGCTCTTCTGAGCTTTGGGTAGACGCACTTTCATTATGATCCATGTGGGTCATGTCTTTTATGATAATGTCGATTGAACCATTTAATAGAAGGAAAAGTTGTGTTCCATATCTATATAGAAAAGATAAACATTAAAGTTGTAACTTGTGAGCACAGTGAGTTAAAAAAAATATATCACTCTGCGTAATTTTTTATAAGAATCGAACTTTAACGTATTAAAAAATAATATACTATTAATACTCCAAATTTTTAATTGTGTTAACTATCGTGTTAACTAACATTGAAGTTACGGAATCAATTACAAAAGTTACTTTCTCGGAGGAGGCATATTTTTTTTCTTGAAGGATTGAATTTTCGATTATCAAAAAATAGCGCATTTAAGACCTTCTATTATATATACCTCTGATAAATGTAACGAATGTATAATTATATTAACCCTTGGTGTACTAAAGTAAGGGTAGTTGTCTAATTAGTAAGTTTCGTTACCTTTATTTGTTGTTTAAAACGACTCAGAGGGCGCGAAACGTTCAGTAAAATTAAATAGATCTGCGCAAGAAAATGTAAAAAGTTTATGAGTAAACAACATGTTCTTCATAAGTTGTATTGTGTCTTGATTATCAAAAAGATGAGCAGCGAAACTGAAAGCAGTATCAGTTCTTGACTGAAGTTTTTCTTAAAAGATGCGTTTGTTTTCTTAATTATTTGTATACTCAAGTTTTTGTGTCGATATTAGGAAAAATACATATGCCCTTTTTACTAAATATTTATTGTTGAAATTTTACCACTAACTTAACTTTGAATCATTTTTCAGTCCATGACATTACTTATAAGCATGGGATCAATTAGATCCACCTCCGCCATTGTAATATTATTTTCAGCTTATAACTCCTTCGTTTAAAATTTAAAAATAAAACGTTCAGTCAATAATTATATTAATGAAATATTTCGTTTGCTCTAAAGCTAATCGGAAAGCATTCTGAAATAGAATACAGTAGAGCGCCGATTATCCGAACCCTTATTATCCGAGGGTTCAATTATCCGAACTATTTCCAAATTCCCTTTTTTTTTTTTTTAAAGTTTAGAATATTCTTTAACTCATCGACATTTTTTCTACATTTAGAAGAATAAATAATATCCACTGCATATGAAGACCATATTTAATTTACAACCTTTTTGATGATGCATGATGATAGTGGATGCCTGGAATTTAGTAAAAACATCGACTCTTAGAAAATTTTGGAATAAAATTCTTAACAGAAAAACAAGCGGAATTGAAGTTTCTGAACCAGTAGATCTTCCGGAAAAGATGTTAGGTTATACAACAGAAGAAATAGAAGACTGGTGTCGAGACACTGAAAACGACCCAGATTTCAAATTTGAAATGATAATGAAATTGTAGCTGAAATTTTGAAAGAAAATCGGAACTCCACATACGAAGAGGTAGAAGTAGGTGATCAAGTTCAAGATAGTGGACCTTCTCATATAGAAGCATGCAATTCATTAGATATTGCAATGAATTGACTAGAACGTCAAAATGATGTTGATCCAGTTCAGTTGATTTATTTAAAAAGAATAAGGGATGTCGCTGCACAAAATAGAGCATCTTCTTTGAAACAAAAGTCTTTGCTGGATTTCTTTTGCAATGGAAAATAAAGAAAAATTTGGTAAAATCAGTAATTGACAAAAAATTATAAAAAGCTGAAATGTGATTTAAAAATATTCAAAAGGAAATAAAAAAATAAAAAATATTTTAAAATTGAAAAAAAAAATTTTAAACACTAAGCTACTTTAGATATTACTACCAGTCCTAAGTTTGAAAAAAGTGTGAAGGGAAGTTAGTGCATAAATAATAATCATTTAAACTAGATTTTAAACAACTTTCCAACTATCCGAACATTTCATTATTCGAACCACGTTCGGTCCCGAGCAGTTCGGATAATCGGCCCTCTACTACTAAAATCTAAACAGTTTACACAGTTTTAAGTATATATATATATATATATTAAAAATATTAAAATAATTTATTAACTTATTGCAAAACATTCAATTTTGAAGATATATCGACGAAAAGAGCAAAACGAAATATTCGCCAAATGAATCCACATAACTTAAAAAATATTATCGAACAATACAGACTGGCTGCAGATTATATTCTACAATTTTACATCACATTCAGAATTATTATTTTTTTTAATAACAAATGTAGAGGAAATCGCTTGCAGGAAAAAATAGAGAATAAGTAAAAATTTAAGATAAAACGAATGATTATAATATTTTTCTGTCCCAATTTATAAAAAATAAGAAATAGTTTTACCGTTTTTATACCGAAAAAAAAGTTTATTTTTCAGGTTATAGCTTTATTTGTCTGCAAGCTACTTATGATTAAGTTTGAAGAATTTCGTTGGAAGTAACTATAAATAAGCACAGAACAGAACACCATAAATTACAATTATGTTAATTTGCAGATTTTATTTTAATACTATCGTATGACATTTCTAATTTCATTATTGAGCTAAATACGATCATCTGTTTCTTTTCTTTTTGGTCAAAGTTAAAGTATGATTATATAAAATTCACATTATATTTAAACAACATAAAGTTTTTATGAATACCTTTATTATATTTAATGTTTGTAAATTATTCTAAATACTTGGTAGACTGAGCTTAATTTTGACAATAATGATCTCACTCTTGCTGCGTTGAGGTGGCAGACAAATTTGAGCTTCTGAAGACAGTGCAGTAGATTGACTGCGTAAATTCTGCTACCGGGGTTATAGAATGAGCAAAGACGTAAATAATTCTTTGGGGGGCGCAAAAATTACCACATCATCTACCTATTACCACAGCATCGAATAACTATTACCACAATGCTAGTAATGCATATTAGCACAATTAATTAAACGTAACTCGGGCCATAGATTTGGTAATTGTCCTAGGACAAGAAACGAAAATAAAGCATTTCGACTTTAAAAATAATTTGAAAACATCATTACTTACCTTTCTGTTTAAATCTGCATTTTGCTGTTTTGTTTACAACACAATGTTGCCAACAACACAGTAAGGTTGTAAAATAAATTACTCAATAAAATTTCACACCATTTCACACAGAAAAACACCTACATAAAAGGAAAATCAGAAGGGAAATAAAGAAATATTGCGTCGTCATTAGCATGAAATTAATATTTCAATGCTGCACTATTATTACATTTTCGATTTCGCTTAATAGTAAAAATTGAAGGATTAAGATTAAAATGGTAATTATTTTTAACTTTTAGCATTTTTTAACAAACTTTTAATTATTCAAAATATTGCGTTGTAAATACAACATTTCATGATAACGACTTTCTGACTAGCTAGAAAGCTGAATTTTAATTGGAAGGTAAGAAAAAAAGTGTTGAAGGAGGTAGATAGATGGAAATTAAATAAAAACAGAAGTTAAAGTAAATCAAATTAAATCACAATAAGAAATAAATCAAAAAAATTTGAAACGATAAGAAGTGCAAATAAATAAGGAAAACTTGTCATCAAACCATGTAATCCAACAAAAGTATTTTTTTTAATATTCCTTGTTTTTGCAAAAGCTAAATTGACATGGAATATGAAGTAAAAACGTTCAACAATATATATATACATGTATATATATACATATATGTGTATGTATGTATGTATGTATGTATGTATGTATGTATGTATGTATGTATGTATGTATGTATGTATGTATGTATGTATGTATGTATGTATGTATGTATGTATGTATGTATGAATGAATGAATGAATGAATGAATGAATGAATGAATGTACGTACGTACGTACGTACGTCTGTCTGTCTGTCTGTCTGTATGTATGTATGTATGTATGTATGTATGTATGTATGTATGTATGTATGTATGTATGTATGTATGTATGTATGTATGCCCAGAAGATTGGCTATGACTCCATTAGTTTTCTGGCCTTCCAATATCTCTGAACATTACAATTTAAAAACACAAGTGCAGAACATGAGTCAAGATGAGTAGCATCAAAAATATGATGCTGTCCACACAAAGGACGAAAAGAAGAGTCACAAAGGCCAAACCGATACAAATACGCGGTAAAAGAGTCATGGCCTGTTCAGAAAAAAAATAACAATTTTATGCAATTGTTCAAATATTAAAATGCACGTCAGAAACACGATAATAAGCAAGAATCTTACATCAAGTATCAAAAGCAGTCTGAATTTCCAAGAGGGCTCTAACAAATTGCGAGGAAAAGCTGGCGAAGATGAGGCAACCGAAAACGTAGTTTGGGTGTCGCTTCCGGTATACCAAAAGATCCTGAACATGCCGAAATACGATATGAACAGTGTTGACTGAAAAATGTGGGCACGAAACCTGGTCTAAACTCTGACGCTATAAGTTTTGGGGGCTATAACGCATTTCTCCCATTTTGCCAGCTAATATCTGAATGATCTATGTTTCTGGGGCGATAGAATGGCCTTTCCATATATCTATTCTATTCGTCAGATCTGTGGCTCATTAATTTTTTTTTTTTTGGGGGGGGGGGCTTACGAGTACTAATGTTCAACTCCGTAGCTTTGTAATTTTGAACCCAAACCAGACAACAAGGAAACGCCGTGATCAGGCATTGGGAGAAATTTGCCATCTTGGAGGACTTTTGGATAGAACTAACCTGCATTTGCGTTACATGGAATGGAAAACCACGAGAACCCTCCACGGTTAGCATGACGGCAAGTTGACTCTAACCCAAGATCCGTCCACCACTTAGTATATTTCATATTAGCACTGTGGTCGGTGCAAACCGAATGCGGAATTCGTATCGACCAGCCATTGCCGGGATCGAACCCGGTTCACCTCATTGGAAAGCAAACGCTCTATCATCTGAGCCATCGGGGCTCATAAAATTTTCCGTCGAGGCGGAGGAAAATTTTATGAGCCGCAATGGCTCAGGGTATCAAAGGCTGTAAGTTTTTTTTTTTCCGCCCCATACTGCCACACGTAACTACATTCTTGCAGCTTNATGTATGTATGTATGTATGTATGTATGTATGTATGTATGTATGTATGTATGTATGTATGTATGTATGTATGTATGTATGTATAATGAATAA